TGTTATGTAGCATAGATGAGAAATTAGTGGGTGCCTACACCACACATTTTGATTCTATGTATCTCATATATAGTTTATGAAGTGATTTACACAATCGATCATAAATGTTTAATTTGTATAATTTATATAATAAATAAATTAAAAAAAAGGCTTTGACAATTGAATATTAACTAAAACAATATTAATTTCAACAAAAACGATAATAAAATAATTAAAAAAATAAATATTGTTATTTTATTGATAAAAATATTAAAAAATAATATTTAAACAAACAAAATAACGAATTATTACAAGATAAGCATAACATCAAACTATTTATACAAACTAACGAATTATGGTGGTTAGACTACGTTCGGGGGTCTCCTTGAAAAACGAAGGAAGATTGGGTGCAGGAGGTAGGCTTGGAGGCTGGGGCAAATGGAAGTGATAAGGCGGCATTATAGAATGATTGAATGATCAAATGATAATGGATGCGTTATGAGGTGGTATCTTATTTATAAGGGGAGATCCCGAGGTCCCTAAAAGGAGCCAAAAGTGTTTGATTCCCATTAGGAAAAGGAATTTTGGATTCGTTGTTGGTCATTAAGGAGCACTGCTAGGGTTTTGCCACATGTCTTATAAGACCTCTTAAGGACTGACTTTCCTTTCGTCTAAGGATTCTCATAATCCGCATGTGCTACTCCCTTTTGTGATCCATTCAACGGACGTGGCATTAGTGACTTTATCATTTAGCGGGCATACTTTTACTAAACCTACGTGGCGCCATACCACGCACGTAACTTAAGGTTGCACGTGTAGTCGGTACTTATTTCCATTTCACAGTGATCCCGCAATTTTGTAATGATCTCGGGTTCATCGCAAAATTGTGCGCATCCAAAGTTTATCGTAGAACCTCGCATATTCGAGGTTTATCGCAGAATCGTGCGCATCTAAGGTCCATCGCGAGTTCTCATTAACCAGAGTTCATCGTGAGTCCTCTTAAGTATGAGTTTGTTTCAATTGTGCGATAATGTCGTCCAATGGATTGTAAGCTCATCACAAGTAGTTGATGGGTTGTGAACTCATTGTAGGGGTCTATGGGGTACCAATTCAATTTCCTCTGTATTTTGATGGTCTGAGCGATCACTATGTACTTATAGAGAGATTCAGCGGAACACAGCGGTATAGATGTTTGGCGGTGGAGACCTTCAATGGTAATGTATAGGGTTTAGAGGATGATGTAGAGCAAGGTATTAAAATTGAACCTGGACCAACTCTATTCATGAAAAAATACTATTGATGATAATTTGGAGTATGGAAAGGGCCGATCCATGATATAACGTGGACTGGTCCCATCTATGACCAACCGAGGAAATTCATCATGTGGCGTGAGCTGAAACGGTCCACCAAGGAGATTGTGACATTATGTATCTGCTGCAAGTATCAAGTATGGAAACAAGACGGCAAGATGTGTAACAAGAAATCCGGAGTGAAGTCCTCCTCGGACCGTTACGGAATCTGGGTTATATGGATTCTGGAGCATATAAAATTTGGACATTTTTCATTCACAGTCATGTCATATAGATTTTGGAGTGATCTTGGACTTCTTGGACTTGTTAACAAAAGACAACTCCCTGCTGGGAAAAGAGCTAAAAACGGCAATGCAAACAAAATAGCGTTATCCACACTCAATCTCCTCTTTATCATCTGATCCTGCTGCCTGAAGTCTGTAGAGAGATTTGCTTCCCGAGAAATTAGACGACGGATGTCCATCAGAAAGCTCAACAAAGAAATCTGAACTCAGGCCATGCCCCAGAATTTTCCTACCCTGACACTCATCTTAAATTCGTAATGCCCTCTTTAGTGTAGTGACTACTGACGGAGATAGAGCTCCCTAGGCCATGGGTGGAATTCTCAGACAACATTAAAATAGCAACTGTGAATCCAATACCCAGTAGGTAAAAAAAACAGAGACTCTCACTTGCCTTTGTCTACCTCTCTGTTTTTGAAGTCTATTCCATTCCGCAGGATCAGCACTGCCACTGCGGCGTGGCAGAGTACTATTGCTAGCTGGTTGGTGGCTGCCTCCATGTACGTAACATCCTTTTGCTACAAAAGAGCTTTGCCTCTCAGCTTCTCTCATACAATACCCAATTATTTCTGGTTTCTCACCCTTTTTTTTGACTCTTGATTAACGTAACATCCTTTTAGGAAATCAATATTATGTAAAGTTCTGAGAAAAGAAATCGCTCAAAATATATAAAAGATTTCTCCTTTCACCCATGTCCCATCTTTTTCCCCCTCTCCGGGGCTTAAGTCACTGTCTTCACTATCAAACAGCAGTTAGACTGGGTTGCATCAGGCTGAAGTCCGTCTACTATTAAGAACCAGGGAAAATAAATAACAGAACGCTTCTTTTGAACCATCGAGCTACATGGTTAGGTCAGAAATTAGAGCAAATTGAGTAAAGGATTTCGAACAGACTAGTTTTGCTGAAGGACTGAGCTCGAATGTTAGGTGGGCTCCGATCACAGACGGGGATTGGTGGCCTGGTGGGTATGGGTGAATTAACATTTAAATATCAAACGGTTGAAGGTCGAGGGATTACTCCATATCCCCTTTCCAACTGGCCTGATGATCCAACGTAGCAAGTTGCATCTCTACTTATCGAGTGCCATCGAATATAAACTTCTACACCCTTCTTATACATGGATTCTCTGATAGTCTTTCAATCTGTCAAAATAACCACCCAATATTGCTGCTTCCTGTAATA